GAAACCATAAAAGGAACAGAGGGGTGGGTCTTTTCTTCAGTCCCATCTCACTGTTGGCTCCGTTGCTTGTCCGTACTTACATGAAAGCACACATGTGTGTGCGCGTGCACACACACACACACACAGGTGCACACACACAAACCTTACTAGGCTGCTCCACCCTTGACAAATCTTTTCTTTTTTCATTTGTGTGCTCATTAGCAGGCACCAGTGCCCTACCCCATTCTCTACCATCGCCACCCAGTAGAGTTTGCAAACATTTGTCAAATGACACCTATGGGATAAATGTGGCATTTCTTTTTGGGAAATCCATCACATTTATGTAAAATTAATATAGCAAAGTTGTTTTAGTGATGCTGTTATGCATTTGAAAGAGTGGGCAGGTGACTAATGGGATATAAAATGGCATCCATAAAAAATGAAGAGCAAGCAAAAATGGTGTTGACATACTGTTCGGTGGAGATTAGCCTGTATTTCTTGGAAACCACCCCCTACACCACTACTGACCTTTTTAAACTTCTCCACTACCAAATGAGCATGCTGGATGCTGCTGATAAGTGGCTCCAGGACCTGTCTAAGATACTTGCCCTTTGCAGAATTGCTTCAGGACACTCAAGTGGAACAGCTGGGTAATGGCCTCCTATAATTTTGGAAAGCTATAAAACAGATGATCAGATTCACTAAAAAGGGGGAACTCAAGATGAGATGGAATCAGACTGAAATTGTATCGGCGTGGATACTGGTCATGGTGCACTTTGGGTGACTGTAATCCATACGCTGGAGGCAGTTTAACTGTTCTCTGTAAGTCTATGGGCTGGGACTTGGATTCCAAAAGCAGTTAGCATTTGAAGGCCTCTTATGAGAATTATGTATTGGGCCAAGATTTTAAATACACAGGGCAAAATTTTAAGCCTTCAACTTGTTTGAGTGGAGCTGCAAGGAAGACATTTTTAACTCTAGCAGTTTGCTAGAGAAACCAGAAGCACAGAGCCCTTCCCCACTTATGCAAAGCAGACTTGGTGACTATTCAGACTTTGTAGGGGCAAGATGGGAATATGAAGCAGAATTTAGCCCGAATCTTGATCATGTTAGCCTTGTTGTGGAGCTGGGTATAGTTCATACCCACCTGTAATTATTGGATGCTCCAGATAATACCTAAAGTGCCTGACATTGAGGAGGGTCCAGATTGTCTCAGGTCAATTTACAGAATGCACTTACCCAAGGGATGAGCGTAAGGGATAGGGTAGAGGGAAACATGGCACTTGGTCAGATGTTTAAGCCACTTTGACTTTCTTCTGCTAAGCAACACCAAGAAAGCCAAATTCCCGGGCACTAGGAAGACTTCATTTTTTTCTGTGCTGTGCATTACTTTTTACATATAATGTATGTTTATTTGGAAGAAAGAGTTACAAAGAGAGAGGACACACACATGCACACATGCACACACAGATTTTCCACCCACTGATTCATTTCCCAAATGATAACAATGGCTAGGAACCTGGAATTCCATCCAGTTATTCCACATGGGTGGTGGGAGTCCAAATTCTTGGTCCATCTTCCATTATCTTCTCAGGAACATTGGCAGCAATCCAAATAGGAGGCAGAATAGTTTAGAATCAAACCAGTGCTTATGGTGGAATGCCAGTGTTCCAGGTGGCAGCTTACCCCACTTAGTTACAATGCTGGCCCCTTATGTTGTTCATCAGAACGCTGAGTCCTATACCAGCTAGGTATTATTAAGTGTTAACTTCTCTACCGGTCTCCCCATCACATATGAACATTTTTCCATTTTCTCAAAACCTTAAAAAAATTATCTGCTAGTCCTTTTAGGATTTTTCAGATTTTGGTATTCAAACAGCCAAATATAATGTCTGATCTATAATGAGTCTGAGTACTGGTCAATTAACAAACATGATCAATATTCACCAAGTGATAAACCTAGGAAGAAGACAATGGTGCTAGAGAGAATCTGCAGAAAAAGATAAAAATATTTCACCCTCAGGTTGGCCCTATGGTACTAGAACAAAATACTAGGTTACCATTCACATTTGGACTTGCATTTCCTCTAGAGAAAAATATTGTTCTTGGGTACAGCATGATGGCTCAATGGCTAAGCCCTCACCTTGCAAGCACCAGGATCCCATATGGGCGCTGCTTCGTGTCCTGGCTGTTCCACTTCCCATCCAGCTCCCTGCTTGCGTCCTGGGAGAGCATTCAAGGACAGCCTTGGGACCCTGCACCCGCATGGGAGACCAGGAAGAAGCTCCTGGCTCTTAACTTTGGATCAATTCAGGTCTGGCTGTGGAGGCCATTTGGGGAACGAACCAGCAGATAGAAGATCTTTCTGTCTCTCCTTCCCTCCTTAATCTGATCTGTACACACACACACATATATATATATATATAAAGAACATCACCTTTGGCTTGAAATAGGGCCTCTCCCACTGAGATGATCAAATGTAAACCAGGAGTGGCTCAGGACGTAACCCTCTTACTAGAACCAAAGGAGAAGCAGTAGCAGTAGCAGTAGCAGTAGCAGTAGCAGCGATACCTGGAGCTTACCCCTGAGCTAGGACACTAAGCAGAGCATTAGAATGACTTCCTCAAGACCTAGTTAGGAAGTAGTTCAAGAGTCAGACGCACATAGGAAATAAAAGCCAGAGACTACTTTCAATTTTGTCTTTGGACACATGTAACTGAGCTGGTAGCTGAATGGTTTTCTACTTAGCACAGAAATTTAAGAGCAATGCTTTCAAACTTTTTAACTTAAAAAAAGTATGTTCATATCCATAACTCCATTTTATTTTTCTGCATGCCTGTGGTTGGTAAGTTCAGGTGGAAGGAGGTAGCTAGCTATTGTTTCCATTTAACAGATCAGTAAAATCAAGACCAAGAGCTGAAGTGATTTCTTACTAAGATGACACAGCTATTTAGCTGGTCAATCTAATCCTGCAGCCAGGATACCCACTTTCAGACTCATTTTCTACCCACTAGAGCAGTGGTTCTCCAAGTGTGCTGAAGGCCCAGAGGACCAGCATGGCCCGAAGACGCATTTGAAATGCAGACCCTTGGACCCTATCTCAGATACGCTTAACTAGAAATTGCTGCCATGGAGTCCTGCCCAGCAGTTTCAACAGCCCACCTGGGCGTTCCGCTGTACCTCATGATTCAGTCACAGTCCACGAGGCTGTTCTCATGCTGTTCTCATACCTTTGCAGTGAAGAGACTTTCTCAATCTTCTCTATGTCTCCAGTGAATTTTATCTCTAGGAAATTTCCACATGGTGTCTACTTTGGAAGCCTGGTAACATCCATTCTGGACCACGGAGGCTGTTTGACTTCTGTTGTTTTATTAAACTTGAGCTTGGTCTTTACTGACTGGAAAAGGAAACCCAGCTTTTCTCATTATTAACTTGACCTTGGACCTCTTTTACCGCAGGTAGATTGATCCCCTTAAAAGTTATGAAAAGAGGGCCTGGCGTGATAGTATAGTGATTAAAGTCCTCGCCTTGCATGCACTGGGAGTCTGTATGGGTGTCAGCTCTGCTTCCCATCCAACTCCCTGCTTGTGGCCTGGGAAAGCAGTCAAGGACGGCTCAAAGCTTTGGGACCCTGCACCTGCGTGGGAGACCCGGAAGAGGTTCCTGGCTCCTGGCTTTGGATTGGCTCAGTTCCAGCCATTGCAGCCGCTTGGGGAGTGAATCATGGGATGGAAGAGCTTCCTCTCTGTCTCTCCTCTCTGTATATCTGACTTTCCAATAAAAATAAAATAAATCCTTAAAAAAAAAAAAAAGACCAGGTCTTCTCCTGGCTCTAACACAGACCTTAAAAAAATTAGGAAAAGAACCTGGTCTTAAAGATTTTTCCTTAAGGGGCTAGTACAGTGGCATTCAGGCTAATCTTCCTGCTACAAGGCCAGCATGGCACACGGGTGCCAGTTCATGTTCCTGCTGCTTCGTGTCTGATTCAGCTCCTTGCTTGTGGCCTGGGAAGACAGAGGAGGATGTCTCAAGTCCTTGGGCCCATGCACCCCATAGGAAACTTGGAAAAGGCTCTTGGCTCCTGGTTTCAGATTGGCTCAGCTCCAGCCATTGTGGCCATTTGGGGACTTTTTATGGCAGATGGAAAATCTTTCTCTTTGAATCTCCTTTCAGTTCATCTGCATTTTAAATAAAAATAAATACATCTTTAAAATATTTTCTTGAAATTCTCTGTGGAGTTATGTGGATAGTTAGTATAATATTTTATGCATGAATAGCATATAAGGCATACTTTAATACAGAAAAGATCTGAGAAAGGAATTTTGAACACCCTCTCCCTCAACACATACTGACACAGCCATGCTTATACACAATTCTGGACACATAAAATGTACTAACCAAACATTTATTTATTGAAGTTTTTTTTTTTTTAGAATCCAGGGAGGAAACAAATCTTAAAAGCCCACCTGCCAAAGGAATTAATCATTATTTCAAATTCTTTGACAAGACATTAAAAGAATATAACATTACTGTGCCTGATGAAAAATTAGTATTGTATTCTAATTCAACCAACATATGGTTTGCATTTTACATAGATAATTTAAGATAGAAGTGAGAGTTGCTCTTATTCATTTACTGATTGTTTCATTCATTCAAGATTTTCTTTTTACTGTCTCACCCAACCCTCCCATTGTGTGTCAGCCAGACATGCCCGGGGTGAATAAAGATAACATCTTCCTGCCCTCACGAAGCTTCCAATCTACAGGAAAGACAGTGGGTGAACAATGACTTAGAGTGAAATGTGATGAGTGCTGCCAAAGGACACCGTAGGTACACTGGAAGCACACACTGCCCCTGTGAGGGGCAGAAAACAGTAAAGCTGAGAACTAAGGTGAAGGCCTTGGTCCTCAGAAGCCCTGTTCAAAGTAGACTGATAAAATCTGCCCCTAACTGTCTTGACCACAAGAAAGGATGATCTGTGAGGAGGCACATGTGCAGGCTGGACCGTGCAAGCAAGTACATCAGTGCTTCGATCTTTGGAACAGGATGGACAGGATGACAAATGTCAAGACGATCGTCCCAGCCACGCCTCCGAACATCAGGCCCATGACACTCCCATGGACCTGCATGGTCTGGCAGTGCTCTCCCGTATAGAAGAGGGCATTTCCAGAGACGCACCTGTGGAAACAAAATGAGTATTGGAGCTACTTGGGTCTCAAGAGCTTCCTGGCAACTTATATCACCTGAATAATGGCTATTAATAACTAATGAAGAGTTCCACGTGCCTGACCTGATTTCAAGCACCTTTTACGCATCAGTGAACTTAATCTTGTGATAATCCTTCAAGACACAGGTTATTACCAGGTCCTTCTTATCATCTTCACTTTACAGAAAGGTTGAATAACTTGCTCAGGACTACATAGTTAGTACATTTTTCTCAGATGAAGTTTAATGCCAAGAGGTAAGCTATCAAACTTAATATTCTCAGACAGCACATATTCAGAAGGAGAATTCAGAGCACTTAGCATATATGCTGTCTAATAATAGCTCAAGACTATAAACTAGACGGTGTCTGACTTAGTGCATTAGTTGGAGCCTGAAACTCTTGACTATACCAATGAAAATATTACCGTAAATAATGTACTGCCAGCAATCTAATTGGGTGACCCTGAAATCACATGGGATGAGGATATGGGGCCTATTCAAGTGCTTGGCACACAATGGCCAGAGCAGCGTTTTTTATTTCCATGTAGTTTGGTATACAGATTAACTAATCTCACAAAAAATGTATTAAGGATGATGTTTCTTTTCTGTTTTTTTTTTTTTACATTGTTACATTTCAGCATTCATTTCAAACAATACTTCTACTACAAAGTCTACTCAACAGAGCAGAATGAAATGCTCAGAAGTCAACAACTCCTTTCATTAATTCTGAAATTATTTAAAGACCTTATCTCAAGACTGGGAGATTGCTAAAGAATAAACAACATGATCATTCTCCAATATAAGGAAGCACAGTGCTCTTTGTAAAAAAAAAAAAAAAAAAAGGTTCATTCTAGGGTTGGCATGGGGGAAAAAAAACATGAGCCTGGAGTATCCTCTGGTGCAAGAAAGTAACATTTCACTCATAAAATTCTGGGTGACGGTTAAAAGCACAAGCGCCAACCTAGAAGAGCTTCCGAAACCCAAAATTAAAACAATATGAGTAATAAAATAAGCAATGAAATTATTAAAACATGATCCATACATTAATTAAAGCACTTAGGGTTTCTTATTGATGTAAGCAAATAATTCACTGAGTATGAACCAATGAATGAGCATAGGAAACAATTATCCTCTATGAAAGAATTCTAACTAGTGAGTGTGGAGGAATTTGATGAACTAGGAAATCACCATGATAAAATCACATTGGTGATTGCTCTCAGTGGACAGAACCCACTTGATAGACAAGGAAATTGGTGGGTGTGGGGTTGGGGAAAAACAGGAGGTCTGTATGATCCCAAAGATGAAGTGCATAGGAAGGAGTGGTAGCTCTTTCGGTAGAGTCCTGGTGAGCCAAGTGTTGAAGGTTAACATCACCAGCAATGATGTGAATGGAAGTCACACTTCTATCTGTACGTACACTGAAAGGGCAAGTCACGCTCAGTGACTTTGCTTTTGTTACCCCAAATGCATAACCTTAAATGCCTTCCCAAAATGTACAAATTTAACCCAAAGACAAAAAAATACATCATGGAAAAACATGGTGAGATCTTGGTAAGATTTTAGTTTGCTTAGAAGTGTTGTACCCATATTTATTTTTTGTTTGTTTTGCTAATCATATAATGACCATTTCATGTTCACATTAGGGAAAGGTAGGTGAAGGGCATAGAAGACATATCTGTAGAATTTTTGCGGAAATATTTATGTACAAAATTATTTCAATTTTGTGGTGAAGAAACAAAGCAGATAGTGAAAAACATTCGCAGGAAGCGCAGGTGTTTTGAGATACAGACATTATTCCCAATTTAGTTCTTGTTCTGTGACATGAAGCCGGTGCTTTGTATTCATACTTTCATTAAACTTATTTTATGTTCTTTATGCTAACAAGCATTACACAAAAATAACTACTGACTACAACAAATTGTGAAAACAGAACTGGATGTAAGTCCACAAAGGTCATGCTAAGAAAATTACCTAGCCTTTCAACTTCCTAATGTACTAAATGGGAGTAAGGAAAGCTCTAAGTCACAGAATGATGATGAAGACAGATTTAGATCAAGCCCGCCTCATGGTCAGAAGGGCAAAAACCACATAGTGAGCGGGGTGATCTTGATGCTCTTATTGCTATTATTGTTTTCGTTATTATAATCGCTGTTATTGTTCTTATTAATATTTCATCAAGATTGGATGTTTTACTGTTATTATTGAACACTTGAGTATGAGAAGAATAGTGTAACAGAACTGACAAATGATTGCACTAAAACAATAACTTTAATTAATAATTAAGAATATCATTTGTGGTTAGTGAAAATTTAATCTTGGTCCTGAATCCCACAGCGATTAGCCATGGTATAGCTAAAAGCTATGGATTAGGGGTTAAGAGCAGTGGTAAAGTCAGAAATTCCTAGAACATTCAAGATGTCAACAACGACCCAGATGGAGAGATATGCAAGGTAAGAAGCAGAGGACTAGGCTTGACCAGGACTCCTCTGCCCTCTGCAGGTCCAGGGAGCCCCCTTTACAGAACCAAGGAAATCCACCTACAGCTGACCCCCTGAGGCAACTTCCATTGACCCAGCATCTGCCTCCCCAGCTACACAGCTTACCTGCAGCTTGCCATGCCCTTCACATTCACACAGATGCCTTCATTTTGGCAGGGGTTTGGGTCACACGGGTCACTGAGGTCCTGAGGCCAGTTGTGGTCGTCCATAGGACCCATGTTCTTCACAGCCCGCTTCTGTCGGCTAGGCTGCCCCTGGCTCAGACTGCCAGTGGGGACTGCCTCGGATTCGGCCGTTTCTGAACTTTCTCTTGGTGTCTGCTGCTCCTGGCTTTGAAGAGCATGGCCTTGGGGGGTCTCACTTCTGTCTCTAGTGCTGACTTCAGTCTGTGAAAGGTGGGTGATATCTTCAAGATACAGATAAAAGGTTGTAAGGAAGACTTAGGCATAATACCACACTACAATTAACTTCTAGTTCTTGAGAAAATTCCCCAGACATCATGTTGAGTAATATGGAAAAGAGTTGTTGAATACAACCGATATGCAGTACATGAGCTATTTCTATTTTAAAGTACTTCCACCAAGCTTTAATTCATTAAACTTGTAAAAAGAAATATAAATTCAGTACAGGTGAGCTGAGCAAAACTAAACTGAGACTAGCAATCTTCCATAGTTGGTAACTTACCCAGACCTAACACTTTCTCCCAAGGACAATGGAAAGAAAGATATGAGTCCTTTACCATTCAAATCAAGCAACACACCTACACCATAGAATTATCTACTCATGAAGACCAGAAAAAGTACCTTCAAAGTTCACAAGAATAATGAGGTCATCATTCTTAAGGAAACTCCTCCTTCTCAGCATTTGGTGCGAGACTACACTGCTCCAGCCGTAGTCAATGGTTCTATAACAATCACAGTGCGCATCATAGGTGCCCACAGTGGATGGCCTGTCCCAGATGACAGAGCCATTGATTGCTGCAAGGTATAGGAAACATAAAATCACATTACCTCTTAATACTTCATTTTCCAAATTTTTGTAGGGTTTGTTGATCCAAAACAAAATGTTGAAAAGTGGTTGGGTCATTTACTGTTTCTTGGAGAATTAAAATGAAAGGTTTTAGTAGGGAGAGACAGAGAATCACAGTTCTGAATGGTCAATTGTCCAATATTGGGTGATTTCCTTAAGGAAGAATGAGGAACAATATAGCTTCTTCCTTTTAGGGCTTAAAACTTTCCTTTGAAAATAAATGGAGTTGTCTTCCTTTTATTGATGTAAGTTTAATTCAAGGACACACTGATGATCAGGGTGACAGCCTCAGATCAGTGTGATATAGTTCTGCATAGTGAATTATGAGTATTTGATAAGTGATCACAGCATCTGTCTCCCTAGAACTAACGATCTATGAACCAGAAAGCCCCTGATCTACTTGTCTGCTAAGTACACTACAGCCTTCAATGGATATCTGATGGGTAAATTTAGGAGCTAGAAGGGAAATAAGATTGCACTGAAAATGTTAACCAACTCAATCTCAATGTGACTATGCTGATAATATACCCAAAGAAAAAAATGTGAAAGGACTATTACACTCCCGTACATAGTTAAGACTCACATCTATTCTTCCCTTTGGGTTAAGGAAAAGCTGTCATTTATGCTCAAACGACCCACCTGAAGATGTATGGAGGCTGGAGGTAGTTAAAACCATGCTTGATGACATCCTATTCATGACATCAGGTTCTTGGTCAAGTATGGTCATAATTGCCTGTCTGTTTTCCACTGGCCACTCCAGGATGGCATCATTTTCCCCACTGCACAAATGGAAAGTCAGTCCCACATATCCCGTTCTTGTGGAGGTTAGCCTGCCATGAGGGAATAAGGACACCCCAAAGGCATATCCCTCTGAATTGTAAAATCGAGGGCTCTGGATTCTGTCGCCCAGAACAGTTTCCTGGAGGACCTGGGAGAAATTCCGCACTGTCCAAACACCTGCAGGGCACGGGGTTTCTGTCAGAGTGATGTCATCCAGGAAGATTCCCCCAAGCGAGTTCTGAGGGTCACCTCTTGTGCCCTGAAAAAGGTAGCGAAACTTCTTGTCTTCCTGGAGTGTTACATGACCAATTTTCCAATTATGATCAGAATCTCCTATGGACAAAGAAGTAAGTGGAAATAATTTAGCCAGGACTGTATGAGCCCTCTTTGTGAATTTGGTACTGGCCAGATGTCCTACATAAATTACCTCAGTTTGTCCTGACAGCAATCCTACAAGGTAGGTACTATTAAAAATGCATAAAACATATACAAAGACACATTTTCAGTAACAGGAAGTATCTGGCAGAGATATTATATAATGTGTTTTAAAAACTCATCTTCATATCTTAATCATGAATTTCTTTTCCCCTATCATTTAATTCTACATGTTTTAGTTTTGCTTCTGTTTGCCGACATAACTGCACCCCATTCCTGATGTTTAGCATAGAATGCTAAATTTTATGTTGTGATTTTTATGTTGTGACTTACAAACAAATATCTAAGCCTCACTTGAACTCTCAATAGTGCTTCTAATTTCTCAAAGCTCAAAACATACACAGAATGATTATAACATGCCAGATACATTGTTAATCTCTTAGAAAGAGGAGAAAAATGAAGAAGAAAGAAAAGTGGAGGAAAGCAGAAGGAGGGGAGAAGGGGTGAAATGAGAAGAGAAGGAAAGTAGTCCAAGAATTTAAAGCAAACCAGTCCCTTGGGTAAAGGCTTCCAAGTACCTTGAAAGGTTGCGATCTTGACTAGCTTGCGAACGGTGCCCGTGCTGTCATCTCTCCTGACCCAGACAACCAGTCTGTCTGAAGGGCTTCCTGTCATTTTATAGAAAAACTGCAGGCACTGCTGGTTCCTCTTTGGGTAAAGAATCCGAGACTCCAGTAGGGCTGCCTCTTCTATTGTCCCAACGCTGGTGTTGAAGTACATGAAGTAGCCGCTATCTGTGGAAAGAGCACCCCAACATCCCATCTTTGACTTCTGATACCCCAGGCTGCTATCCTCCCAGGTCAAGTAAAATAGGGAGCAACAGCCATTATCCAGGCACTGAAATCTAGAATTTTCCTGGGGAAATAAAAGGAAGGTCATTTGTCACTAGGGAGTCTCCATTTCATTTGCCATACTCTCTGGCTAAAGCTGTGACTGAGCACAATTCTTATAAATGCTTTTGTTCCCAAGGCTGTGAGACACAAATCTCTGGCTTAAAGAAACAGGCTTCAACCAAGGATTGATGACATTTGGTGTTAGTAAGATGAATTTTTTTTCCAGTGATCTCATTAGTGATTCATTCTTAGGAAGCAAGTTGGTCTCCTGGTCATATAACAAATCAAGGGATTCAGAGATGAGGATTTGGATTTCAAATATTCATCATGATAAATATCCTAATAACCGGATATGTATCTTATCAGTGCGAGCAATCATCTTTACTATATTTTAAGAATGAATTTTCAAGATACATAGGGATTTAGGATTTCTCCAGAAGGTAATGGAAAGCTGTAAGGGAAAAATACATCAGCAAAAGAGTATTAAATGAATCTGTAATTAGTGTCAAAGCCTGGGGTTTGTCTAATTTGAATGTCTCAAAATTGTTTCTCCTAAAAACAAGTAAGTGGCTAAGTAAATTTATCATTTGGAAAATCAGAATATTTTTCAAGTCAAGCACAAAAAAATCTTGATATATAAAACAAAACAAAAAAAGGTTTGCTACACTGTATTCTAGTGTCCAAACTCTTACCAAATGACATTGTGAAAATTTTCAGATTGGGGTTGATAAAGTGACATGGTGGATTAAGTCACTGCCTGCAGCACCAGCATCCCACATCGGTGCTTAACTTCCAGTTTAGCTGCTTGCTAATGCACCTAGAAGAGCAGGAGAATGTGGCCCAAATGTGGGAGACCAGGAGGCTCCTGGGTTCAGCCTGGTCCAACATTGGCTGCTGCAATCATTTGGGAAATGAACCACAGATGGAAAATCTCTCTCTCTCTCTCTCTCTCTCGTAGCTCTGCCTTTAAAATAAGTTTTTTTTTTTTTTAACAGTTTTGAGAAGGACAACATGATGTAAACACCTAGTGCAGTTCTTGGTTTTCTGGCAATGCTCCCTGGTATTCCTTGCTTTATTATCCTGCCTCACACATGGTAAATAACCCTCTCTGTTGGCAACAACCCTTGCCTAAAGGAAAATTACACTTTATTGCATTTGTGTGTTCTTTGCAATACTTGAACTTGCTAGTCTGAGACTTCTGCACCATGAATTACTGCATTGTTGGGTTATAGAGAAGGAGAGCCAACAAGACTAAAAAGCTTTCATATTGAAGAGCAATATAAAATACATTGAAGACAGAGAGGTGGGAAATAAGTAAGCTAGACAACTTTCCACAATTTCCCTTACATGCAAATTCAGCACATTCATTTTCCCATGATGCACATGAGTTTCCTCCAGGACCAGGAAGAGGATATCATGATAGCATATGTAAGTGGAGTTCCACATATTTCTTCTGGAGTATAATTCTTTGCTTTAGCACTAATGTTCTAGAACATTATTCCAGATTCTTCCCACCTGAAGGTCATTTTTCTTTTGGGGATTGTGTATTAACCTAGCAATAAGCCCACAGGAGAGACTGGACTCCAGGCTACAGTGGATGATAATTTAGAAAGAAATTCAGGCCTGGGTCACTCTTTGGACACCTGGAGTGATACACCTGATAATATGATGTGTCATTGAGATTCCCACTCTCTGCCAAGGCCAGAGGAAGAGTGCCAAAGACTTATGACCTGGAGGCATTCTCCCTGGAGGTTTGGCAGCCGGGTGTCTGCCTGGGTTTCTTCTCGGAAGGAAGTCTAACCAATGTTTATAGGTGTGGACTTAGGAATTTCACCATCATCAAGTATATTTCAAGTTTTTGTAATATGTAATCCGAATCCACTTTTCAAAGAAATAGAAATGATCTGAGTGGCAGGTGTACCTTCAAAAGATGATAAAATGGAAATTTTTTAAAAATGGAAGCTCTACAAATAGAGGAGGGTGAAAGAAATGTATGGAGTCAAGCTGCTGAACTGGAACATCTTCCATCCCCACTGTTATCAATAACTTGATATTTTATGAAGCCTGTAAAAGTAAATGCTTGTAAAAAACACATATTCTGCAACAGCAATTTCCATTGATTAAAGTTAATACACAGCAGAGGTAACTTTCAAATTCAAGTGTTCTGATTTTGTGGCTTTTTCACTACACAAACCATATATAGACATTACCCAAAGCTGTGCTATCTGTTATGGAAGCTACCAAACCTGCATGGTCATTTAGTGCTTTAACTGTTGTCAGTCCAAACTGGCATTTGCTGTAAGAGTGTCAAGAATTTCAGATCTCAAATATTTTATGCAGCAATATATAAAAGGTATAATATATTGTAAATTTTTATATTGATTATATGTGAGAATGCTAATATTTCTGATATATTAAGTTAAATAATGTTTTAAAATTAACTTCACATTTTCATGATATATGTTACTACTAGAAATTTCATACTATACACATTATTCAGATTACATTTCTGTTAGAAGAGAGCATTCTAGAGTCATTACCTGTATTTACAAAATTATGCCTTAACAACTATTCATATCTGTTTTGTCATCACTTAAATGCATACTTTGTATGCTCAGAGCCTGGATATTTTTTATGTAATAATTATGATAGTAAAAATGTTATTTGGTTTTGTTCACATTTTCAAGCTTGATAATCAGTGATCATTTGAGGCAAAACATGATGGCTTCCATTACTGAACTGATAAATCATAATGTATTTACTCTCCATCTTCACCGACCTGTACACTGTCCCCCAAAGGTGTGGTCTGCTTGTCCGGGTAGAGCACTGTTCTCATGGACCCAGTCAGCATCATCTCTGGTACCCTGGATCATCCCACAAATGTTTGCTTTCTCAAAATCACAGTGATCCAAAAAGGTGTGTGTCGTAGCTGCAAAGAATTTATCAGTTGGTTAAAAGTGTAAAGCATCTCATTCCAAATCTATATAAAGTCTTAAGATGCTGATATAAGTCAACCTTCCTGCAAAATACAGGATCAACAGGTACATAGTTAAGCATGTACATACATATATTTATCTAGAGGATCTGTAAGTATATCATGCAAGTGGAGATGCATTGCACTATGCATCTCTAATTCTGAATAAAAGATGGACTCCAGGTGAAACTATTAAGTATATCTTGACACTAGAATGCTGGATTTTACAACATTCTCTATACCTACAATGTCAGGATACACTTAAATAACAGAATGATGGACTGTGACTGTTGTTGAGGGACTAAACTGTTGTTACAATATAGGGGAAAGCAGTGGGGGAATGATGGTGGAAAGGGAAATCCCTGAGCCAAAGGAATTGTATCATGAAAAAATAATTTTAAAAAAGATGTTGAGACATCTTTTTTCAAATATAGCAGGATCATAAGCACTTTCTTCTTTTTTTCTCAAATACAAATCCTACTGTCATCCAATCTTAGCACATATCAACTCAGATGTAAACCTATCCACCTCACAGAGTTAAGATAAAAAGATCTCTAATCACACTTTGCTATGTAAATGCTAACCAAGAACTCCCTAGAGGGAGAGCTTTGTACATTGTGCATCTTCTGTTCATAGTCACTGCATAGAACTAAATATGGTGTCTCTGAAGACTACAGGGGTCATTTTAGGAAACAACCCACCTCAAAAGAATGAGTAACTCTAGGTAAATAACCTTATGGAAACTTTGCATGACACAAAACATTTTAAAGTCTATTATCAGTCTTGAACTTCAGAGAATGCTGTACCCTTACAAGGAACAACACCATAATCAGTATTCAGACACTGAATAACTAGTAACCACTTAGTAACTAGTGGTCTAGTTACTAAGATTATGTAACTTGCTCTTGTTCCCGTAAGTAGAACATTGAGGAGGAGAAAAATAATAAGTAAAGGAAAGCGTGAAGGATAAAGGATTCAGCTGCAGCCAGTCTGTGGCTGCTTAGCTCCAAGGCGTACTTACTGCAATTGTACATTCGGTTCAGCCTCTCTAAATCAATTTCACTAAAATCCAGACGTTGCCCAATGACGGAATCAAACTCAGGGATCTTGGCCGTAATGGTGGGAACATTTTCATTTGCATTAAATGATAAAGGTGCATAATGCATCACAGACTCATAGTCATAGGGTGTGTTGAGGTCTGTGATGTAATTATCATCATAGGTGTTAAAGTTGTGCTCATAACCTGTTAGGAAGAGAAACCATGGTCTTGTTCAGTCACATTACTTCCCCCAACATTCTTTGATGGAGCACCAAAGATGCTCATAAAAAAATAGTACAGCCTTAATTTATTTGTATATACACTATATATGTATACAAATAGATTATAAATAAACATAATATATATTTATATACATTGTATATGTTATTACTATAGTGAAGTAAGCCTTTTTTATTTGTCAGTTGATCTATTAATAAATATCATGTACAGATTATTGATGATGCTAGATACATATTAAAATGCATACACATGTTAAAATTATTAAATATACACATATATTTAAGTAGAAGATTGTTATAAATATATATACAGTTAGCATTGCCAATCCACAAATCAGAAATCCAAAATGCTTCAGAATCTGAAAGCTCAAAGCCTTTTCACAAGACTGATAGAAATAAATGACTCACACAGGGAAGGGGAAAAACAACTTCCTCCTTAGATCCTAAGGTGTCATTTGAAGAGAGAGATTTGCCAAAAGCATCAGTGGAGGTGAAGATTGTGACTCGGGTCTAGCGTCTCCTGCTGGTTCTCAGCAACACCTTGTTTCAGGTAACTTGCTTTGACTCACTGTGTGTTTTCTGTCATTTCCCATACTATTGGCAGGCTTGGATAACACCAATACTACACTACTACTACTACTAATAATAATAATAACATAAAAAACAACAACAAATTTGTCCATCTGGAAATTGTAGTATAACTGGGCTTGTGAAGATGGAAAAAGGAATGGGATTATATGTCAAAGAACTGAATAATAACATATTATTATTATTATTATTATTCAAGGGGTCTTTTCTAAATACCCTTTCAAGTAAATGGTCTGAATAATTTTTAAAACTTTATTCAGCAGTGCCAGCATTGTGGTGCTAATACGTTAAAGCTGCTGCCTGCCATGTTGGCATCCCACATGGGTACCAGTTCAAGTTCAAACTGTTCCTCTTCTGATTCATCTCTTGTGAACGTGACTGGGAAAGCAATAGATTATGACATAAGTCATTGCATCCCAAGTCTTTGGACCCCTGAGCCTATGTGAAAGTCTCAAGTAAAACCCTTGGTTCCTGGTTTTGTCTTGGCCCATTGCCTGTTCTGTAGTCACTTGATAAGCAAACCAGCAGATAAAAGAGTGCTCTATCTCTCTCTATCTCCTGCACTCTCTGTTTAATTCTAAGTTTCAGATAAAATAATATAAAACATTTTAAAAAAAGAAACAATTCATTCAACAGATATTTTCATTGTGTCTGTGTCTACCTGGCTCTGGGTGAGGTAGCTGGTAACAGCCAACACTAAATAAATAGGAAAACAGTAGACTCATGTTCAGGGAACCCACAGCTAGGAGCCTGTGTTAGAACGTTTTTCTACTAACTATTAGGTAGCAGATATGTCTTGCTGTGCAAACTGTTTTTTCTGTCTCAGTTATTGAATTCTGTCATGGTAGCACAATCATGAGCCATATCTAGACAAATGGACATGACTGTGTTCCTATAAAGATTTATTTACAAAAGCAAGCAGATGTGTCCCATGGGCTATCATTTGTGACCCATGTTAGACCTTGGAAGTTGAGTTTTTCTTCAGTAAAGGGAAGCAGATTTTGGAAAGACAGTTGTGACTCTAGAAATGAGGATGGACTTGGGGGTGAAAACTATATTGCCAGTACATTGTCTTCTTAGGTTAAACACCAGACAATCATCAGTTGAAAATGGCATGCAATAAAAAAAAAAATAAATTACCCTGAAAAATTATACTGTCCTTGTTTATTATCTAATTAGGTTTGATATAATTGAGAACAGTTCTTCACTAATTGCAGGTAATTTAGCTACATATAAATTATATCTGATGAAAATATAGATAGGAGATGAGTCAATGTTCATATCTATTGAGCAACTCATGCTAATCTCAAAGTTAGGCAAGTCTTTGAATTACACTAGCAAATATGTTGACTCGGTCTGAAAAAGGGGACTTTATTTGGCCTACAGTATGCCATATTGTGACAGCTTGAGTTCTAGAAGATCTCCTTACAATCCAGCTCCCTGCTAGAACACCAAGGAAAGAAGCAGATGCCCCACCTACCCACCTGGGAGACCCACAGAGCTGTTGCAGCCCTTTGGGGAGCGAACCAACTGAAAAAGAACTCTTCTCTCTCTATCTCCCCCCACCTCCTCTGCTATTTTGCCTTCCAAATAAATAAAATAAATCTTTTTTAAAAAATCCCTTTAAGTATTTTCTTCTTCAAGATATAGAAAAAGAAATATTTTCTACTTTCTCATAAAAATTTCAGTAAAACAAAGCATACCAAGAGATAAGAAATCTAGGACTGTAGGCAAACATAGGCAATTCTGATAGTAATGGTCGTTTCACAATCAGAAATTCAGTTCTTTGACCTGTAATCCCATTCCTTTTTCTATCTGTACACGCCCAGTTACAACACAATCATACCTGAAATACAAATATATTAAGACTAACCTGAGTGAATACTTTCCAATTTTCTTATATCAAATAGGAGGCTTACTTGACCTCTAGTTAGTTTTATTTTTATGGTAGGGTGGTTAATCTGTTCTATTTTATTATACTTTTAAAATCACAGTTTCCCTACTTTTCCTCGTTATTCTACATTGAGATAATTATCAGACTATGAGGGACTGGGAGAGATGCAATTTGAGAAACCCAAATGGTGATTTCAATATGATCAAATACCCCTAACTCATTGAGAGCCAGTAACCACCCAACTCCACAATGACCTTGTCACCTTGTCATAGCAGAAGTATTTGTTGTTTTTTTTTTTTGAGAATTCATCTTTAATTGTAGGATTTACCAGCTTTTTAAGGCTCTTAAACTTAGAATATTATTAGGATGTACAGCAACATATGAACTCACACATAAAGTTATGATTCTGATAAGACAGATAGCTACTGCTGCAGTCTGTCTCTCAGGCATTATGCTACAAACTTGGTCCTTAGGGTGGCAATATGAGAGGTGGTGGAAACCCTTGGGAGTGGGGTTTAGTGAAAGTGCCTTTCATTGATAGTGTTTCTGTTAGAAGGGAATACTGTTCTCTTGGAGTGAAGTCCTAAGAGTAAGTTCCCATAAAAGCATAAAATCTTGATTCTGATCCCTGAGTCTCCTTCCAGCCTCCTGTGTCAAGATGTGACTCTGTCTTCCCACATGAAGCTCATCATTGTGATGCTATCTGCTGTAAGGTACTAGTGAGAGTCAAGCCAATGTCAATGCCATTTGTGTCTCCCGAACCAGGAGCTTCACAAACTTTTTTTGTCTATAAAGTTGCATGCCTCAAGTATTTCATTATAGTCACAAAACAGACTAATACACCCACCGGAAGCAATTACTTGCTCTACTAAAATCCGTGTGTAAGAACAGTTAAAGCAGTTTTTGTAAATGCAGTTATATCAATCTTTCATCAACAAAAAATATAGTTTTTTCCCACTAACTAAACTAATTATTAAAAACTAGCTATCTTCAGAACATAGCATTAACTTTTCTTTCCTACACATTTGGAAATGTTTCTCTAAATAATATTTTGGTATACTCAAAGTATTCAAGACGTAGTATTAGTGGCAGTATTCAAGGAAATCAGTCAAAGCCAGAAAACATGAAATTGTTAGAATGAATGCTAATGCATAAAGCTATTTTATTGGTATGTGGCAAGAGCAAAAAGGAACAGATTAGTAACAAAGAAGAAAAAAAATTAAAATTTTAGTAACTTAAACCCAAATAATTAGCCTGAATTAGCACAACTGGCAGTGCCATTTCCGATACAGGTATTCTGTGTCATTGCTGTTGCTAAATATCTACCACTGATTTGGCAAATACACAAAGAAAAAAATCTTCTGGAGAATGTCCTGGTATCATGCTATAATCAACACATTCAGCTCTCTAAGACTATCAGAAATTCTACATTCCGAAAGATGGCAATAATATCCTCAGAAACCTAATTTACTTTATTCATCAAGCCAGGAGACTAAACAGATTTTTGGATAGATCTCGATGAAAATATCAATCCAAAGTGAAAGCATCTGCTTAACTTCCAGTCCATATCCACATTGAGTAAACCAACACATATACTCCCCAAGACATTTACCTAAGACCAGTAATAAATCAGTACAGCTCACAGGAGAAGTCAAGCAATGGCGACCTCCTTACAGTCTGTTTTCACCCTGTTGAAGCTGAATCTCCTATCCATCCATGAACTTGACCTGCTCATCCAGGATGAATTTCAGCAAGTGGTTAAAATGGCTACCATCTCCACTCAACCATGTTGGGTTCATACACACCTGGGATAATTTCATCCCACCAGATGTTGACGTAATCATCTCGGTCACTTCTGGACTGCTCATGGTAAAATCCCAAAGCATGCAGGATCTCATGTTCAATGATGGCCTTATAGTCACAGCCCTGGCCAATGGAAAGGTTCTGTCCCCCATGAAGGTCGCCAACATAAGACCAGCACCTTTAAAAAGAAGTGGAAAATTATCTTCCTAGAAAATTCTGGTGTGGTTAAAATTTATAGGATTCAAAATTTATAGAACACAAATTAGGAGAAAGTGGGACTTGATTTTAAAAATAAATGATCTTTCTTTGTAATCAAAATATTAAAAATACCCTCTTCCACTATTCAAAACAGTATTGTTAACTACAACCATATTGTGCAATAGTAACCAAAACATTTCTCTTGTTACTTTATCACTGCTACCAATTATACAGTGTCTGTAAGCATTGAGACATTATCATACTACACTCCATTAATATGTATAATCACTTTGTAAATTAAAATGAAATGAATTTTTTAAAAAGAAATTTTTAAGTGACATTCTTAGATTCTGATAGTTCAAAGACAGGGAAACAATTAAAAAGGAACTAGAGGGAATAAAGGCCTTAGAAGTGACATTTCATTCTGACAGTAGAACATACTCCAAGATGGAAGGAAATTTTAAACAGCGGTATTCTTCCTCCCCTCTACAATCTCATGGGAACCCTAAAGAACAGCACTATTGCTCCTCTACCAAAATATTAAGTTATCTCTGACTGTTTCCTGTGGTTCATTTCGATTTTCTTTTTGTACATTAATTAACTTTTAAATTCCATATAGTGAGAGGTGTAAGTTTTAGGAGTATGTCCTTTTGAATGAGTCAGCTGACCACCTGCTAGGGGACTACTGCCCTGAAGATACGGGGTATTTTGAACCAGTCCCTTCTCTAACCCCTCTTCCTCTCTTTTCTCATCCCTAACTTGGATATAACAGAGGCACTTTCTAGCCACAGACAAGAAAAGCCCCCCATACTCAACTTTAACAGAGAATATCTCTGAAAGCAAATATGCCCCTTAGCCATGCACTGGAGTTTAAGTTAAAAGCAGAACAAAAACCAAAAGAATTTTGTTCAGAAAGAGAGAAATTTTAGAAAGTGATCATATTGATGTTACATTTTTGTTTTCTGCTTTTGAAAGATACAGTATGATTAGTGGTTGAAGAGTGAGAATGAAAGTGTTTTGGAAATTTATTTTTCCCCAGACATTTTTAGTAAACAATTAAAGGCTTTGATATATTCTGAAAGTTCAGAAGTTGCCAAGCAACAAGATGAGAAATAGATAAGACAGCCTCTAAAATGTGTGAACTTTGCAATTCCTGAGAAACACTTTAAATATTTTCCCTTCATTAAAAAAAAGCTATTCAAGTATTTTTGGCCATTTCCATTTATATACCCTGAATCAACCTCAAATAATAAACGACATGCTTCCAAACAAATTAACTATCCATCTTGCAGAGACTTTCCCAGTAATATTCAATATTCCCAATCTTGGTGAATAAAGCTACTACGTGACATTCATGCTACTCAGAAATCTGATATTCTTGTTTCATCCTTTCTGTCTTCTCCTATCCACTAATCAGATGAAGTTGGTTGTTATAAGTATGTCTCCTCCTGCGCCTATGGAACTCGTTGCCTCTTTCTAGGTTGACCACCTCTTCTTTAGTGTATGTCCCTCTCAGCTTTCCTGGCAGATTAGAGCATCCCTTCATTACTCTTCCATCATCAGCCTTTTTCGTTCAAATACTTAGTCCACAACTAATCAGATAATCTTTCTGAAATGGAAAACCCAAAGAATCTAACAAATGTCGTACAATGCAATAGGTTCTCACACTTACAGTTCCTATTTCTGGGTCCTGTCTGCCACCCTGGATCCCTGATCCATCATTCTATCCTTTGCACACAAAGCTGCAGATAAATTAAACTTAATACGTTCTCCAAGTAAGCCAGCTTCATATTCATCATGTTCTCTTCTTTTATTAGTCTTCATCTTCCCTTTCTTCCCTTCTTCTTCTCCCTTTTCTCCATTTTCCTTCTTCCATCCCACCTGCTGTTCATCCCTCTCTGATCCGTATCCTTCTCCCTTCTTCATTGATATAAGCATGAACCCTGGCTGGCTGTCCCTGCTAACTCATCCATCGCTTTGTACGGCTCAGGTTTGTATATAGAAATTATTTACATTTTGTTGGTTCACTATCCTCACCACCAAATGTAAATTTTGTGAGGACTAAGGCTGAATCCCATGCTTCTTTATACAAAGAGAATAGCATACCTCCTGACAAACAATAGATGTTCACAATTATATATGTATATATATATATATATATACTTATATACACACACATATATACATATATGAATGAACTAAAAAATAAACACACATAGTTTGACGTCTAATTTGTATCTTAAGTGATGCCTGGGCAGATGCCTCCATGTGGGGTCTGCAGGTACAGATATAAAAGTTGGTTAACATAAATATCCCTGAAGAAAAGGAGCTCGTGTCATCCTTTCTTAGAAACAAGTAAGTCACCTTCTATGGAAAGCAGATGTACAGCTAGAACTTTTCTAGCAGGCAGTTACAGAGTACCCTAACACTGCGGAACTACTCAAAGGATATTTATTTTTTCAGAAAACTTCACATTTTAAAAAAATACTTTAATTTAAAATATAGCATAAACCTAGAAGAAACCCAAGATAAATATCACTAAAATCCACCTGCATTCAAAATGTACTCTCTATTGAGCACCTTAAAGATTGAATAACTCAGTGAAATAATTGCTCTTAGCTTCCTTTTTCTTTCTTCTTTTACCCTTTAAAGTATTTGCAAAAACATTTATAAGCCAAAAAAAGATGCGTGTGTCAGCCAACTCCTATCCCCTACCCACTCTCAACCCAATCCATCCCAATCTGTAGCCCACATGGATCTGTAATCCCCTCACCTTCGTAATAAACATGTTTTAAAAAATAAAAGAGTGCATATTCATTTTTTGTAAAATTTCATACCTACCCACTAAACTGCTGAAATATGATGTATGTGCTTTCTCCTTCGTAGGGCTTAAAATCCACACAGGACTTGAGGCGGAACATTTCAAAGGCATAGAGAATGGCTCCTTTGGCATTTAACGCTGCATACATTAAGGAAAATGTCAATGAGTATTATTTTGATTTTGGAAAATATGCCTAAAATGGTATAGAGAAAAATCATACCACTGTAAGAAATCCACAGTTTAGCTACATTCTTTCTTGTTTTATTATTATTATTATTATTATTATTATTATTATTATTATTTTGAAGTTTGAATTTGATGGTACAATTATGTAGGTCTGGGATAGCCCCCTCGAAATCCCAACACCCTGACTGATTTCCCAATATTGTTACAATAGTATAGTCCTTCATGACAAGCTATAATTCCACTCCTTTTATGATAGTAAATTCCTTGAAAATCAAATGGTAAGAATGGTTGTAAATACAAGCATTAAGTGCATACTTTAGAAACACAATTGAAATGTGACAAGAAAATATGAAACATGCATACGTATGTGGCTAAGTCAGTTAACGTTCCCATTTTCTCTTTTTTCCCCTTTCCACATGCAAACATGTGAGTGCAATGCTTCAGAAGAGTCACAAGACAAAGCAGAAAACAGACGTGGCTTGCAAGTCACTGTGACTTTTAACATTCATTTTATTTATTCGAAAAGCAGATTTAACAGGCAAAGAGATAGAAAGGGGGAGACAGAAAGAGATACAAACAGAAAGAGAGCAAGAGAGATCTTCTGTCTACTAGTTCACTCCTCAAACGGTTGTAACATGCAAGATTGAGCCAGGCCAAAGCCAGAAGCTTTATCTGGGTCTCGAGTGCATTGGCATGGAGCTGGATTGGGAGTGGGGCATCTGAGATTCAAATTGGTTTCTATATGGAATACCGGCATCTTATATGGGAAACAACAGGTGGCTTAACTTAGCACACAAAAATGCCAGACCCAGATCATTCTGGCTTTGTAAGCAGATGTAAAGTAGATGGTAGAGAAGCTGTGAGAACAGTATTTTCTACCGAAGTCTAAAACTATCTCCTCCTGCTGAAGGAAATTAGCAGAGTTTACAGAAGTTTGTGGGTTCAGAAAGCCAAGGAGGCACACATGGTCTTCACCCCATTTTCCTGAAAGGGTCCCAGGAAAGTGATAAGAAACAGTGCTGAACCCCACTTTGGAAAAAATATTTCCCTACCTCACTTTTGATACCCAAGTGATAGAAGCCCAAAGGTCCTGGAAGGGCAGAAATGATAGCACTGGCCAGCAATCTGTTTCAATGACCAAAGATTGAGTGACTTTCCTCTCACGGATCATGCACACACTTTGACATCGCATGACAAGGATGAGAAGGGGAGAAAAGGGTTCCACCCCTCAGAGGAATTAAGATTATGTTTGACTTCATGTGCATTTTTTCCCCTCTTGTCAACACGATGGAGATTGGGATCTCAGTTAAAAATTAAGCCATGTTATATAACATTAAATCATACTTCTGGCCCATTTGATTTTCTGCATTCTCTCAAAGTGTTTATAATCCTTGGCAGTCTACCAGGTGATAACATCATGTTTTTCTGGCCTTATTTCATTTTGTCAACTGTTAAGCTGCAGATATGGTAAGATCATACCAAGATCATTAAAGAAATAGTCATTGGAATAGTCATAAATATGTGGAGACAATACAACATTGGACAACAACAAAAGCATTCATAAACATACCAGAGAATTTTCATACCTGGTTTTAGTTAGATCATCAGTAATACGGAGAAATATCAGTAATATGTAATATGTAGTTATGTCATCAGTAATATGGACTCAAAACAGTTCAGTTGTCACAGAAGCATCAAAAGAAAGCTGGTTCTAAAATCCAGCTATCTAGAAGTTTACATTGCTTTAGTTATACCTTTTTTAAGAGTTATTTATTTGTACTGCAAAATCAGATATACAGAGAGGAGGGGAGGCAGAGAGGAAGATCTTTTGCCTGATGATTCACTCCCTAAGCAGCCACATTTTTTTCTACCTAGTTTACATATAGACTCAACTAATCCTATCAAAACCCCAGCACATTTTAAAAGGAGAAATGGATAAGATACAAATATCAATTTATGATATATCTTAGACAAAAGATGAACTATAAAGTTCCCAAAATACATTAAGCAATGATTTATTAGGTAAAATCTAAAAGTATCATCAATATATAATAACATTGACACTGACAAAAAGAGTAAGTCAAAATTCACCAGAATGAAATCTTTTAAATTACAGAGTTTTTTTTTAATGAAAACTAAATCATGGTCTTTTTTTAATGAAAAATAAATATTCACAACATACACATCTGACAAGGCACTCATCCATAATAGATGAGGATCTTCCATAAACAGCTGAAAGACAAAAATACTATAAAACTCATGAAAGAGTTGAGTAGATAACTCCATAAAAGAAGTTACACAAATATCCAACAGCACATGAAATGTGTTAGTATCATTAGTCATCAGGGAAATGCAAATTAAAACCACAGGAAGAAACCATTTCGTAACCACTGGGTTAGTTGCAATTAAAAAGATTAACACACCAATGCTAATGAGGATATTGAAAAAATAGAACACGTGTGCATTGTTAGCAGGAGTGAAAATGGGACATCCTCTTTGAAAACTAGTTTGACATTTTCTTTTAAAATGAAACATGTGGTACCCTTAAGCCACACAATTATATTCTAGCCATGTATTCAAAATAAATTAAAAATGCATATCCACAAAGCCTTGTACAAGATTGATCATAATGACTTTTTTCATAATTGCCCCAAACTTGAAATAACTCAGTGTATATAATAGGAGAATGTACAACAACACAGTATATTGATACCAAAACTATTACTAAGAAGTAAAAAAGAAAACTGAATTAACTATCAATCCCACAGTAATATTTAAGAACTTCAGAAATACAACCAGAACAAGAAGCCAGACATAAAAGAATGCATGTGATCAGGCTCTATTTACCTGTAAATCAGTAGTACACCAGGTAAGCCTAACACTTAGGGGAAAGACAGAAAAATGGTTGTCTCTTAAGGAATGGGCACTGCCCTGAAACAGGCCCTAAGAATCGTTCTAGAATGATGAAAGTGTTGGTTACACAGGCTGATGTATTTGTCGACTGGTTTATGTATGTGGCTAGAGTTTCACCTTAATAAAGGAAATCTGTACGAATACTGAGCTGTAGTTGTTAGGTTTGCTTTGACAGTAATATAGGACCAGCCATTTCAACTTTTTTCTTTATGCTAATGGTGACTCTGATGTGGTAGTTCTTGAAAAATACTGCAATATCCTCACTGTTATTATCTTACTTTAGGGTATCTGTCTCAAATCTTGCTGTTTATTATTTGTGTGTTTGCTTACAGTTGGAGAGAGCTTGCCACTCAAGTTGTAAGCTTTTTGAGACCAGCAACACCAGCATCTCTTGGTGGGGCAGGGTGGAGCAGGGGAGGGGCATTGTTAGACATGCAGACTCTGGCCACAGTCCTGATCCAGTCTATAACTGAACAAACACTTCAGGGGGAGGGAACGTTCAAGTCTGAGAAGCACGACTCACACCTTACAGAGGCAAGGTGATGGTTAAAGGACCAGGTGAAGACATAGCATCTGGCATTTTCCTAGGGTGGGACAGCTGTGACAAGCAGGATGGAAAACTGTAGTGGGTAACGATCCCACTTGAAATTAAACCATGTTCTAATAAGAGTTTGCTTCCTGTGAATTTAAAAACGTGTTGGCAAACACTAGGGAAAGTAACTCAGTACTCCAAGTAAATGAGAACGATAGCATTGGTCGCTATGGGGTTGTTCTGCAGAAAAATGAGTTGACTGCTACACTGATAACCACTATGGAAAACGCTGAGACGTGAGGATGCAGCCCAGTCACATTGAGCAACCGTGTCCTGGCTTCCCCTCTCCTCTCTAATCTCCCCCATCTCTCCATTTGTTTAAAATGAACTTCAACAAGCACTGAGTCATTACAGCTGCTGAGCCACCAACCGGCTGTATGAGGATCAGCCAGTTCCTACCTCTGGTTTCTAGTATTTATTTGTTGTCACCAGCTATTATTTCTAAAAATAAATAAGATAGAACCCTTGCAGATCTTAGATGACAGAACAGAGTAGAAATGATTAATACTGATGAAGAGGAACCTCAAGAATGTGAAATACAAATTTCTCCACTTTTCTGAAGCACAGCTTGTTTCTTTTGTAACAGAAAAAACGGGGCAGGGGGAGAATTCAATATGTTGAAACCAGTATTCTCCTATTCTACCCAGATGCACTGGAGCCAATGTTAGGAAGTCGAATTCTGTTTCATGGAATTTTTAAATGTTGCTTTTGGTTTTATGAGCATTTTCAGGTGAGCTGCATTTAAATAACTCATTATTTGAGTCTCTGTATCTCTACCTCTGAAGCCACTCTGGTTTTCAAGCAATGCCTGTCATTCTCCCCGTGACATAAAGAAGGATCATGCTTGACCACCCTCACACACTGGTGATTACTCCCAGCCTGAAGGCAATCCACAACAGAGGGAGGGGAACTAAGACACAACTAATTAAGAACAATCTACATTACCCAGGTTATCAGCCAGGATGTAAGGAATGGGGAAGGTCCACCTGGTGGTTGGATCTCTCAGGGCATTTCTAGATTCCTGTGGAAACAAAGTCAAAGGTGACTGGGAAACCAGGTCCTCGGGGCTACCTTAACTGCCCAGCGCAAGATTTACACCACACAACCAATTTCACATGAGGCCAACATTTGATGGCATTTGCTTTTGATTATAACAAGAGAATTTCCTTTAGAGAAAAAATTTTAAAAATCAGATGAATTATTAAGAACGAAATAAAGGGGCTGGTAATGGCATAAAATGGAGGTAGTGCTGCAAATATATTGGTGCCCCGAATAATTATAGTTTTTAATGCAATTTGTTATTTGTTTTCTGTTTTGTCACTATCAACAACAGTAAGAGTCTTATCGATTAGAATTCTCTCATCTCCCACATAGTTCTAGTCCAGAGCCAGTCACAGAGCCAAAGTTCACAGGTCAGGGGTGCAGTCAGTCTCAAGTCACGTTATTATAACACTGTCTGTTACTCACTGGAAGGACAATGTCCCCTTGAAACAGGTCCAATCCTGCAGCTGAAGTGTAAAAAGAAAAAAAAAATCAGCATCACTGAAGATTTCTTGCATAATAAAATTAATTTAAAAAAACATTTATTTAATTTTATTGGAAAGGCAGATTTACAGTGGGACGGAGAGATAGAAAGATCTTCCTATTCACTGGTTCATTCCCCAAGTGGCCACAGCTATCAGAGTTAAGCCGAGCTGAAGCCAGGAGCTTCTTCCAGATCTCCCATACAGGTGCAGGGTCCCAAAGCTTTGGGTCATCCCTACTGCTTTCCCAGGCCAAAGACAGGGAGCTGGATGGGAAGCGGAGCAGGCAGGACATGAACCAACATTCATATGGCATGTACACTGCAAGCATTAAGTCACTACGCCATCATGCTGGGACGATAATAAAGTTAATTTTTGCAGGGAGAGTGTTTATTTCAATATTTAAGAAACTGCTTAGAATGCCCATATTTCACATCAGAGTGCCAGGGTTTCAATCCTGGCTCTGTCTCTGACCCAATTTCCTGCTAATGCATACCCCAGAAGGCAGCAGTTCATGGCCCAAGTGGCTGTGTCCCTGCCACCCATGTGGAAGATCTGGACTGAGTTCAAAATTCCTGCTATAGCTAATCCCAACCCTGACTGCTGTAGACATTTGAGAAACGAGCTAGCAGATGGAAGATTTCTGTATCTCTGTCTTTCTTCCTTTCAATAAATAGAAATTATATTAAACAATCTTTAGTGGTCAACCTATATGTGATGTAATTCCCTTTGAGGCAAGAGCAAAGCAAAAATTCCTTTTAACTAAGCAATGGAGATTACATGTTGTTACACCCTGTTTTCACTTTGGGGCCAAAAAAGCTTAACAAAGAATTTTAGAAGAGACGGGTTATAAGACATCTTATTGATCTCTGGATCTAAAGCTCTCATATTTTAAAGGAGAAGACAGAGTCAAGATACAGAGTGACATCCTGGGTAGTCAATAACCAAGAGGGCACTACAATCCTTAACTTTCCATCCAGGGTCCTGCCTGCAGTTCTGCCATCCCGCCTCTGTCTCTCAGCACACAGGCAAGCTTTGCCCTTCCCCATGAAAAAGCAATGGCACTTCCAAAAGCAAAGTTAAGTCACTAGTTATAAGAAAGGTAAAAAAAAAAAAATATGGATAGATCCATTCAACTCTGTGTCTTCAAATCCCTATCAGATGCTTGGTGGACTTCCCATTACCAGTACCACTTCACCCTGGCCTCTTGCTGCTTGCAAAAATGAGATTCCTTAAAACAGAAGACTCTTGAGGGTAAGCTCCCCAAATTGGTTTATTATTATTATTATTATTATCCATTATACAGTTTTGAGGGTATAGGGCTTCCCCCTTTCCCTCTCTTTTCTTCTTCCCTGTTCTCTACACCAAAACACTCAGAAGAACCTCACTTCTTATCATAACCCTAATCAGACTAGCAACACTCCTTAAAAAATTGAAAACACCGCAGACAGGGTTTCTGGGTTCGACTTCATCCTGAGAATATTCTTTCATGCACAACTTGGAGACAAAGCTAGAAAAACATCACCACAGCTTCACAGAAGCCACAGAGGCCCCATTTGGTAAAACCTGAGCCAGTGTGAGCTCTAGAAATGGTATCAAGGTGTCATGTCCCAGCAGGTACTGTGCTTTCCCCTGCTAGTATCTGACTAAGGATGTGTATCGCTTTGCTCCTGCACATGGTTTCTAGATTTGTGTAATCTCCTCTGTCCTGCTCTATTCATATTAAATATCAGCAATGGCATCACCGTCCCGCTGTCACAATGACTTGGGTTTTAGATTGTCTTTTCAGAAGGGGTTCTTTTTTATTATTATTAAAGATTTACTTTATTTTTATTAGAAAGTCAGATACAGAGAGCAGCAGAGACAGAAAGGAAGAACTTCCTTCCACTCCCCAAGTGGCTGCAATGGCCAGAGTTGAGCCAATCCGAAGCCAGGAGCCAGGAACTTCCTCCAGGTCTCACATGCAGGTGCAGGGTCCTAAGGCTTTGGGCTGTCCTCCCAGGCCAATAGCCAGGGAGCTGGATGGGAAGCCAAGCCACCGGGATTAGAATCGGCGCCTGTATGGGATCCCTGCGTATGCAAGGTGAGAGCTTTAGCCACTAGACTACTGTGCTGAGTGCTCAGAAGGGTTCTTTAGGGTCAGTCAAGCCATATACTCGAGCTGTCATAAGAAAAAGTGCATTTCCTGACACCTGGAGTAGCCTAGGGCATGGTGAAAGAATGCAAGGGGAATCTTCCAGGATGATGAATAGACCCCCACAGATCTTGGCCTCAGTGGCTTTTCAGTATGGATAGGTCCAAGCTATGAAGGGATGAACATTTTCCAAACCCGTGCATATCCAATGGAAACAAGCCTAGGTGTTTTTCATGTAGCACATGCTCATTAACAACATTCAGTATTACCTTCCTGACTTGGGAGAGAGACACACAAATGCCCAATAAATGTAAAGTATGGAGTTGGTAAAATGTGCAACAGGAAAAGGAATATAAAGGTAGGTGTTTGGCCTTGCTGTTAAGACTCTGAAGAAGAGTACACAAGTTCAATTTCTGGCTCTAGTTGCTAATACCACTCCTCTGCAATACAGACCCAGGAGGCAGTAGCAATGACTCCAGTGACCGAGTTCCTGCCAGCGATGTAAGGTCCTAGTCCTGGATCTATCCTGTTGAGGGGCAGCTGTTACAGGCATTTGGAAAGTAATCAGCAGATGCAAGATCTCCAGCCCTCTCAAACAGATTAATAAAAACTTTCTAATAGGAAACACAAAGTAAAAAAAAAAAAAAGGAGGAAAAACACTGAAAGGGGAAGCATTTCTCTTTTACAAAGGTAGTCAGGCTCATATCTAATCAGAAAAATGACAGAAGAGAGAATGAAGAGTATAGGAGGCAGGCTATGTATATAGAAAGGCCTAGATGCAGCGAAGCCTTGGTGCCTTAAAGCAGTGGTTCCTAAACTTTCACACCAGAATTCTGAAAAACTTAATACACACTGATGCCTGAGCCCCACTCCTATGGCTTCTGACTCAGTTCGTCTTGGACAGGGCTTGAAATGTTCATTTCCAGCAGGTTTCCTGTGAATGCTGATGCTGTTGGTTCGGGAACCACATACAGAAAACCACACATTGGTAGAGCAATCATTATAGAGTGTAAAAAGAGGACAGATCCGATCTCCTCCTTGTGTAGTCTGTGCAGGAATCACCTGGATTCTGTAGGTCAGCGGAGGACCCCTAAATACAGCATTTTCAGCAAAGCTCATTAGTGTTATAGGCAATGATGGCCGGCAGGCCCCAGTTAGGAATTAATGCTCTCAGACCTATATGCTGTATAGCAGAAGTCACTAGAAGGTTGGATGAGAGGAATGATGTTTTCTGAATGTTTTCCAAAGAAGAGCTCCGCTCAGAGTGGGGTAGAGGGTAGAGGTGAAGAGAATCTATGAGGCCACTGACCAGGCCATGAGGTGGCTTGCATCACCAGTGAAAGTGCTGAATATTTCAGCGATGATATAGTTAGAAGGCAGATCTAATAGCATTTTCTGAGCTGTTACACGTAAGGTGTAAGAAGGGGTCAGGAATTAGGAACAGCTTTGGCATTTGAGCCTGGAATCCAGGTGGAGTTGGCATTTACTGAAATGAACTAAAGGACCATAAAAGTTAGATTAGCAGTTTCAGTGGAGACACAACTTAGCCTCTCCCCAGCCTTTCTCCTTTGACTGTCTGCCTCCTGCTCCCCCATCCCACTCCACCCTGTTAATTTTGTAAAAACTGAAGCATTTTGAGTGACTTAGATCTTTATTTTTCTGACTGCATGGTGGCCGTGGCAGGGGAGAAGAGTAGTCCTGGCACATTGCTGTGTAGACTGTGTCACCTCCTTCCCTTCCCCCATCACATGGACATACGTTGGCTCCCTCTGTTAGGTCCATTTTGAGAATGGTAGAAGAGGGCAAGTGGTACAGATGGTGGGGATTCTTTGTGGCGTGAAAGCACATGGAGAAGGACACTGATTCCTGGGCATCCACTTTCCTTATTCTTGTGCCCTCTCCCAGTCCCGTTCTAAACTATGGCTTCTGTGTGGGTGCTGGGGGCATGGGGAAAATCACAGCTGTGCCCATCACTTAACTGTCCCTGCCTCACGATGTGACTGACAATGTCTGCTGGTGTCATGACTAGCCCCTATTCCTTCTTCTGGAGTTTGCCTTCCCAGCCAGGTTGCATCCCACCCCCTCAGCCTCTTCTCTGCACATTGCTGAAGCTTCAAACCCACCTGAAGTTCCAGCTACAACAATAAAGTGGAAACAACATTTCTCTAAAAAGTTAAATCAGCATATGAGACATGGAGAGGAAGTGGCAAAAAGTGACAGCTTTCCCTTTGTGATTTGTCCAGGCAATCTGTCCAGTGCTAGTGTCTTGCTCAGGGTGGTTAAAAAGAGGGGTTAATGATTCAGAATTGGGGGCAAAGCCTAGGAAGTGCCTCAGAGCCAAAGGAATGAATGTTCAAATAAATGAGAATGGGATCAGGAAAGCTGCAAGTCCAGCCCTATCTTATGGCACAATATTTATTCCTTTGAAGTAAATGTACCTTGGCTGACTCTATAAAAAGAGGTCTCTAGGTGTGCGACCCTGCAGTCTTGGGAGCCATTTACCCATTCACCTTACCAAATGGCATCTGCTCTTCCAGGCAGTACTTCTCAAGCTATTTCCATTAAACATAAACCAGCTACCTTCTCCATGAATGGCTCATAGCCAGGGACATTTAAATCTTAGGTAAGGAAAACTAAGGTAAGAATTTCCTGGTTTTACAGTCATCAAATAATACTGGGTTATTGAGGAATGAGTCAAAAATTACAGGTGTGCCTCATTCCTGCCACTTGATCTTAGAAAAGCTACGCTTGCCACAGGAGCTGCCAGTCCTCTTCTGCAGAAACAAAAGCAGCACCTGCCCTATGATGAGAATGGACAAAGAAACCCAACTGGATAGGAAAGAAGTTAAGAAATAAGGTGTTCATGGTCGTGGGTGCTATTGTTTGCAGCAGTCATAACAAAAGGCACCTGAAATATGGAAGCATCTGTCTCACTTTTCAATAATGGGTGAGAGTATTGGATTTCTTCAAGAACTATAACTGTGAACAAGATATTTAAATAGCAACACTTTTATGCATTTTAAAAGTCCAAGCCAGGCAGTTGGTAGTGAACATGATGGAGACCAGTACAGGCCGTAAGGTTTTTTTTTCCCTCCATTAAGCATAACACTGCGTTTTACTCCCTATATCTTTCTTGAATAAGCAGAATTGCCATTCATTTTTCTTTTTAAAATAGAAACTAGAAAATGAAACTTATAAGCAAAAAACATATTTTGTGTCCTTAGATCCAGCTGAAGACCCACAAACTTTTCTGTAAACTTTGACCTAAATTTCTTTCTCTTTCCATAGTCTTAATATTTTCTCAAAAACTGAGAATCTTCATGAACAACAAATACACCTCACAAAGTTACACAATGCAATATTATAAAGGTAAATGTTCTTTAGCAATTATGCTATTGGGTTTTAAATTTTTCTGACATTAACAATGCAGAAATTGTACTCACCTGCATTGATTTCTGAAATATCCTTCTGTTCAGGAAAATTTGCATATTCTGTTAAGTGGAAAAATAACTGTTACTAGTCTTGTTGGGAAAAAAAAACAGTAAGGTTCAGTAACACTATGCATTGAATTTATTCTTACCATTTCCTTCAGAAAGATGCTTAATCTAAAAGAAAACAAACACACTGTAAATGGATAACATGCACTAGAAATAAATTTCTGAACACCCAGAAAAAAACAAAACTACTTACCGATACAGCTGCTATATGGACAAAAAAGAAGGTAGAAGAGAGAATGCAAATAGTTCTGGTCCAAACCATTGTTGCGAATGAAATGATTTTAGCAAAGACAACTTCTCATAAAAACCTTTTGGACTTTGTCCTGACTGTCATATTAGTGACTTTGACCCTTCCATCTGTGCTGCAGTGTTTCACAAAGACAATGGCATCGGCTTATTTGACTTCAGATACTAAGTCTACCCTAAAAGTTTAAGCGTGAGAGGATGCAAAAAAATTTTAAAATTAATACTGAAAAATAGCTCCAGGAAGAGTGTGGGAATCGGTGACATGTCTACACAGCAGCAGTAACCATTTCTCTAGCAGGTAAATGATCCCTTTCACAATGACAGTAAAAATAACCAAATAATCTTAATGTATTTAATTCAATAAAAATGCATTCCTATTTTAGCTAAATGTTATAAACCCATCTTGAAGGACATCAAAAAGATGTATTTCTATCTGTTTCTCTGTCTCTCTACCCCCACATATGAAACAGTCACAGATTATTCTGTTATTAATCTATACATTGAATTCCATTCTTTTATAAAAATTCCTACATGGTTTTCAACAGGATTAGCCAAACTGGCAAACTGCTCTGAAATCAACGCGAACAAATAATTTCTGTGAATAGACAGGAAAAACTTGGAAAGAATGAATAAAAAGAATTTCTGCATCAAAAAATGTTATAAATGTATTAAAATGAGAGTGTGATGTTGTCAGCGAGAATGGGAGTGAGTCCACAGAGTGTGGTGGAGAATCTCAAAATACATTACGCATAGCATGGCTTTCGTTTATGAGAGAAGATAGTGCAGAGATTTTGGTCTCTTCAATAATGATGTTGGAAAATAGCATTTTCACATGAGAATAACACAAATTCTTAACCTGCATCATTCATGAAAAAGAAATAAAAAATTAAAAAGTAGACAAAAGTTTAAACTTTGAAAAGAAAAAATAGGGTGTAATTCTGAAAGCTGGAAAGATCACTTTAACAAGAGTAAGAATTGCAGAGAACTTATAAACAAAAAGAATACTGCTTTTGCCTATATGGAGACTTCAATTTGTTTATGACAAAGCATGCCAACGCTTAGAAGAAAAATGCAGGTGGAAAAAGATTTTGTATCGCATATTATATTAGTGTCCAAGTTATATAAGGAATTTCTACATTAATAAGACTAAGTAGCAATGATAGAAAAGAAGGCCAAAATAAATAGAAAATTCACAAAAGAGATGTTAAAAACCACATAGAAAATTTTCAGTATTACAAATCATCAGAAAATTCTAATTTAAATAACAATAAAATGACATTTCACATTCACTTTGGCATAGGTGAAGAAGACTATTATAACAAGTAAGTAAGAATACAAGGAAATAGAAACTCTTATACACAGAGACATGAGACTTCACGGGCTGGAAACTCCGCCTTTGGGTAAACACAACTAACACGTGCACACATTTACACATAATACATTCACTGCAGGGCTTTTATTGAAAGAACAGGAAACTGGCAAGAGTACATTATGGAATCTATTCATTCACACATAAGGAAGTGATCAACAATCAGTTCTTTGAGAAAGCGAGCCTTCACTTAGAGCATTTACTGATTTCCATGGTGCAGATATTCTCTTCAGGCTTTCAACACTAAGTCACCAAGGGCCATGCTGGGAGAGAGAGACAAGCAGGTGGGCTCAGTGGGCCCCCAGTTCAGCGCTGCAGAGATGTCCACAGCTTCCTCCTCCTGCAGGCACAGAGCCCAGGGATCTTCAACGTCAGACCAACCCTCTGGGTCTTGAGATTGCAGCTCATGGTCTCCAACCCACCGGGCAGGTGGGCTGGCCTTGCTGTCACTGTTGCCTTTCCTGTCCACTAAAGTATTTCAGCAGGCAGGGGGACTTCTTGAGCCATAAAACAGGAGACCAATCAACAAAGTGAAGTCACTGGTGGTGAAGTTACAGGTGGTGGTTAGCAAGGGCATTCCCACTACCTTCAACTGGGGGGCGGGCCCTAATGTTTTGCAAAAGAATAGATAAAATCAGTGAAGTCAGCAAATGCAATCATCGAAATTGTTAAGCATAGATGGGGAGAGATTTGATAAATATCATCTTGTTTTAAATTTCTGATTCTTTCATCTTTCTTTTTTCCTTTTTTGTAAGATTTATTTATTTTTATTGGAAAGTGTGATTTACAGAGAGATGGCAATACACAGAGAAAGATCTTCCTTTCACTGTTTCACTCCCCAAGTGGCCCCAAGAGCTGGAGGTGGGGTGATCGGGAACCTGGAGCCTGGACCGTCTTCCAGGTCTCCCATGTGGGTGCAGGGTCTCAAGGCTTTGGGCCGTCCTCTACTGCTTTCCCAGGCCACAGGCAGGGAGCTGGAAGGGAAGTGGAGCAGCTGAGACTTGAACTGGCACCTAAATTGGATCCTGGCACTTGCAAGACGAGGACGCCATACCATGCTGGGCCCAAATAAACATTGTCTTAATAAGGGTAATTGTAAGCACCAGGGAGGAATTCATTTGAGGATTTTTAGAAAGATTTACATATTTGTTTGTTTGTTTGAAAGGCAGGGACATGGATAGGAAAGAGATCCTCCATCTGCTAGCTCACTGTCTGGATATCTATATCTTTCTGGGATGGGCAGACAAATGTCAGGAGCCCAGCCCTCCATCTAATTCCATCTGGCTATGTCTGTGGCCTTCCTAGACACATTGACCTGGACCTAGACTGGAAGCATAGCAGCAGGTGCAAAACTGGCACTGATGCAGGTTGCTGAAGTGGTGGCACAACTAGCCCCCATAAAAGATTCATTTCTCAAGTTCCCCATCGATTTTGCTTTCAAGTTCTGAAGTAATCATGAGGGAAGTGAGCATTTGTCCCAGAGGGCATAATGTAGTGGTTTAACATTTTGTTTTCTAAGAGAAAAGGAAATATGCTTGTTTTATCAGTACCCCTATTTAAGTCTCAGTGCTAAGATTTCAGAGACATTACTGAAATCGTTTCATTCAAAGCCAGGAGCTTCTTCCAGGTCTCCCACATGAGTGCAGGGGCCCAAGAGCTTGGGTCATCACTGATGTTTTCCCAGGTTATTAACAGAGAGCCAGATCAGAAGTGGAGCAGCTGAGACACAAACTGGCACTTCTTAGAAACGCCAGTGCTAACAGGCAGAGGCTTAGCTTGCTGCCCCCTTCTCTCTTTTTAAAAAAAATGTGTGTGTGTGTAGTCAAAATGCAAAGAGACAGACAGAAAGAGAGAGAAACTTCTGTCTGCTAGTTCAGTCCCCCAAATTCCCACATGCCCACAACAGTCAGGCTGGGCAAGGTGGAAACCACGAGCATGAACACAAGCCATGACAGAGTACAAGCATTCAGGCCATCATCAGCTGTTTTCCAGATGCCTGAATAGGGAGCTGGATCAAAGGCAGAATTCCTGGGACTTGAGCTGACAGTCTAAGATACTGGTGGTGCAAATGGCAGTGTAACCGACTGTGCCATACTGCTGGCCTCCCGCTGCTCTTTCTACCCCTGCACACTGCCTCGCAGCAACGACTGGCAATAGGAACAGCGAGCTTAGCACACTGCTTGCTCAGCGGAACCTCCAGTAAGGCGAGTACGCAGAGGTCCTCAGCAGGCACGCTTGCCCTTTGTGATTGTTTTTTATGATCATGGTTGCAAGCGTTAATTAATTACCACTTATCTGCCATCCTAGGCACTTCTTCACCATCCTAGGGTGTCTGGGAAGTGAGCCCCGAGCCAGAGTTCTTGGTTTGCAGGGTTTATGGTTCTGCAGTTAAAAAGTAACTTATACACTCCGTGAGCAAGGGTGTATACATTTCTCTATGTGCCCCAGTGTCTGGCACACAGCACCCAAGGAGTTATCTTGTTGGGTAGAACAGTAAAATGGAATTTTCTTTGCAGGTATTGGGTGGAGTGCTATGATCGCCATGAGGACATTTAACAAACCCACCAGCTGAGAAAGTGATTGGAAACTGAAGGAAGAAAGCCAATGATGGAAAGCAGGGGAACCCTCCATGGTCCTGAGACACGTGCCAGCCTCTTTATTTGCAAAAGCAAACAAAGGCGCTTGGTTTGCTGACCCCTGAGGTTTTGAGACTCAAGAGATGGAGATAATATTAACAATACAGAAACATCAGCTGACATGTGCGTGAGACATACTGTGAACTTGGCACTGTTCTAAAGTCTAATTACCCATTAAATCCTCACAACAACCCTAGGAAGAAGACCCTGCTATGACCCGCATTTACAGGTCAAGAAACTGAGACCTGGAAAAATGGGAAAAAATGCATAAGAGAACACAAATCCTAACCGCCTGAAAAATAGCAATCCCTACCCAGGACTGGCCTCCTGGGGGTCTACAGGTGCAGCCTCCACCTTCAAGCTGCTGTAGGTAGGGCCCCAAGTTCCACAAGCCTTCATCTCCATTTACAAAGACAGAGTTGCCTCTGGGAAAAGATTCCGAAGCTATGGAGATCTTTAAATGCTTTGGAAAGCTTGCTGAAGTACACACCCCTGAGCCTGAAGTTTGGGGATTCTGATTCAGGTCAGCAGATGAGACCCAGGAATCTGCAATTTTTCTTTCTTTCTTTCCCTTTTTTTTTTAAAGGTTTACTTATCTTTATTGGAATGGCAGATTTACAGAAAGGAGGATATATATATAAAGAAAGATCTCCCATCTGCTGGTTCACTCCCCAAGTGGTCACAAAAGCTGGAGCTGAGCTGATCCAAAGCCAGGAGCCAGGAGCCTCCTCTGAATCTCCCACACAGGTGCAGGGTCCCAAGGCTGTGTGCTGTCCTCCACTGCTTTCCCAGGTCACAAGCTTGTGGAGGGAAGTGGAGCAGCCGGGACTTAAACCTACATCCATACGGGATCCCAGCACTTGCAAGATGAGGATTTAGCCACTAAGCCATTGTGCTGGGTCCTACAATTTTTCTAAGCCCTGTGACTCTGCTACCAATATGCTGTAGGCTATACTTGGATGAACAGCACTCCAAGGAATTACAGGTAACTATATGTTTGTATGCTTCTTG